GGTCGGTCGGTTGTGTCCTCGTCAATAAAATAGATCTTTTCTTTTGACAAATATGTACTTTCACTTTGAGAATCTCATTGTCGGATCGAATTATTTGTCTATTTTATTCGAACTCTAAATATAAAAAGGTTAATCTTACAAGTCTGCAGAGAAAAGTCCCATTATTATTGTAAACACGGATATAAATCGTACCGGGATAAACATTTTATGGATCTCATTCTTTTTCTTTTATTTTTTGTTTTCTCTTTCCCCCCCCCCCCCCCGCCCCACCCCTCATTGAAAATGAAAAAGAGTAACATCTTCAACATCTAACATAGATTGGTAAAACGTTAATATAGTCTTTTTGTAAATCAAACGTGTCGAATGATAATAATCCATTTTTGATCAATTGACTCGTAGATCTTTTTTTTTTTTAAACAAATATACGTACGTACGTACGTCTATGTCTGTGATGTGTATTTCTCTGTGTTTGTATGTAAGTATGTGTATGTGTGTATGTGAGCTTGTGATACATTTATTTTATTTAAGAAAATAACATTAAATACGTATATAGACCGTATTTATAATATAGTCTATATGTATATATATATACGTATATTTATCACGATTGACTATATACGCCCATATTGGATTGAAGTATGGCGGAAGGGGCGGAATACGAAAAGAGGAAGAGGAAGAGTTAACCATTTGTCCGTATTCGGCAATAAACCGACTTTGCTCTCTTCGACAAAGAAAGAAGATAATTACGATAGGAGGACCTTCGTAACCCTGTAATCAACTCTGTTGAATATATATATATATATATATATATATATATATATATATATTTATATTTATATATATATATATAATTTTTTTTCTCTCGACCGAAGAAGAGGATTAAGTAAGACTTTAAAATTAGCGTGACGGTATTATCTTGCGAAAAGGAAATAACGTCAAATAGGCAGGAAATTTGTAAGTTTCTAACATTTATATGAGCTATGATACTTAAAAAATGATAGCAAATCTTTTAGATCTTTTTTTCCTTTTTTTTTTTTTTATTGAAAGTGTGAAGCGAGAGGAGGGATTTTCGGAAAAACGATTGACCGGGTTTTCCACCTGTGATAATTCGTAAAAGAAATTGAAATTATTTCATTTTTTCGTGTAATATTTTTCTTTTTTTTTTCTTTTTTTTTTTCTTTTTTTGATATTTATTTTACACCTCACACACTCATGCACGGCTGTCGTTTTTTTTATTATTTTTTTTTTTTTTTTTTTAAATGATACGAGTTCATTTATTCTTATATCGAGATATTGAAGGAGTTTGCGTTTAAACTAATTAAAATATATTGGCAAACGTTAATTATATGTATACGTTCATGTAATGTTTCTAAAGTTATAAACAGGTGTAAATTTTGTCGTTCGACAATAATAATTAATAATATTGTTAAAGAAAGGCTTATCTTTTTTTTCTTTTTTTTTTTTTCTTTACAAATGATTTACAAAAAATTACATCACTTTCGATAATAATAAATTTGAGAAACACGAATAATAATATAAAAGTTATATTTTAATTGAGGGTAGGCTTCAATTCGTTTTCGTTCATTTTCTTTTTCTTTTTTCTTTCTTCTTAAAATTAAACTTATTATATCATTTTTAAAAAAATGGCTCCTATACACCACACTCATATATATATATATATATATATATATATATATATATATATATTATATATCATGTTCAATATTACGTACATAATAAAGCGAATTAAAGATATTATTCGTGTGAAAAACTAAATGAATTGAATGCCTGCGTGAGTAGTTTTCTTATTGATAAAATTGCTTGCTATATGTATGAATGTACGTAATTCGAGATAGGTTAAGATTATCGTAACGGTTTTCCCGTCGTACTAACCTATACGATAGATTTGAATTTCTTCCTACGAGATTAGCCTTGCAACATGTCTTATCGAATAGGACGATAAACGTAAATACTTTCGAAGTAGCTATTTTCTTTTTCCTTCTTTTTTTTTTCTCTTTTTTTCGAAAGACAATAATGGTCGGAGAAATTCGTTGAACAAAAAAAGAAGAATAAAGGAGAAAAAAAATTTCTTTATCATTGAATGCAATATATCCAAATAAAATATTTTTGTGGAATTGATCTATTTCCGTGCATCCTTGTCTCTTTACTTTCTATGACAGCATATACATATATATATATAAAAGTTAGTTTAGTATACGCTAGTCATCTTCTAGAAAGCGATACCACGGCCATTGTCCAGAGAAACGATCCGACGACAGCGATAGTGTGAAATTTAAGTGAAATCGAATTTACTTATATCGCGAAAACGTTGCGTTAAAAAAGAAGTTAGGGAAGAAGCAAAAAAAAAAGGGAGAAAAAAAAGACAAACCAAATCGAAATCTTCCTCCTTCTCCCGGCCCTTTAACGCATTTTCAGGCACATTATTTAAAATATATTTCATAAACGTTTCGATCGCAATGGCGTTTAAAATTTAACCTAATAGAAATTTTCAACTTGATGATTTTATTCGTTCAGATTTGACTTCGTTATTTTTTTAAGAAATTAATTTAGATTCAATAATGAAACACACGGAACGGTTATTTAATAGATAAGAAAAAAGATTTCCTACGTTTTCACGTTTGATATATCTTCGTCACACATCAATTGTAACGGTTTGAAAGTGTACAAACCTAACCTAATCGAAAATATTCTGTTAAACACAATTATTTTATCATGTAGTCATAAGATATTAACGAAGACATTTAATATTGCGATAGATGAAATTATTAAATGTATATAAGGGAATATTATATTTTTATTATATTCGGTTATTCGGCAAATTTCGTTTGGTCATTTTTTGTTGTCAAAACGAAATAGTAAAAATAATTTTTTATAACGATTTTACTAAGTCTCGATTGTAATCATTTAAAAATTAAGGAGGGAGCCCTTTGGACAGACGGAAATAAAGAACATATGGGAAGAGTCATGTGACGATAGGAGAGAAAGAGAATCTTTCTGGTCTATATGGGTGTCGTCGTCGTGTGTATGTGTATGTGTATGTGTGTGTGTGTGTGTATGAGTGTTGGCAAAGGAGAGGTCACGAACGGAACAACTTTCACGATTATAAACTCGAGGAAAGAAGGAGAAGAAGAAGAAGACACTAACTGCACAATCGAACTAATCGAATAGTTTGAATAGTTTCGATTGATTAACCTATCGGTAATTTTTTAAAAAGATGTTCATTTCTTATTATGATATAAATATATATATATGTATATATGTATATAACTTTTTAAATATATTAGTTAATATTTATAAATATATCGATTCAAAAAAAAAAAATATATATATATATATTTTTGTCGCGTGATAAGAATGTAACCTAAAATGGACGTGAATCTTAACAAAATTATATTTCCACTGTTTTTAGGGATTCTATATTCTTTTTAGGGATTAATATAATGAATAATCAAAATTTCTTTTATATATATAATTAATATATATATATATTAATATATGTATATATAATTAATATAAGTATATGTATATTAATTGTATATAATATATATATAATTATATATGTATATATATAATAATGTATAGATGTAATATATATTATATATATCATATAATTATATATACATATACACAATTATATACATATATTTTTTGTAAATAATATACAAGAAAAGAGAAATGAAGCCTTTTGCTATTTAAATTATGACATGTAAGAGGTAAAGAGATAGCATTAGTCACTAAGGAGAAAAAGAGAAAGAGAAAGAGAGAGAGAGAGAGAGAACGATAGAGGGGGAAGATGAAAAAGGGGGAGAGAATGGGAAAAAGAGGGGAGGGCTTGATGCCGTTGTTATCTAACTTCGGGAATTCTCTTTAGCCAATCGTCGATGAGATGTAAACGATTCGGTTTTTCACGCTCGTTCGAGCTTTGCAACGAATTCGATTAATCGCTCGCGCCATTACTCAGCGAGCGAATCAGTAAAGGCTGTTTCATCATGAATTGCGGTTGCAATGGGAAAGAACTTAAAGATAGTTTGTAATGTTTTAATCTATTCAAAGTATTCAATGAATATATACGATGATTTTTAAAATAAATAACAGAAAAAGAGAAAAAAAGAAAGAGAGAAAGAGAAAGAGAGAAAGATAAAGAGAGAAAGAGAAAGAGAAAGAGAGAAAGAGAAAGAGAAAGAGAGAAAGAAAGAGAGAAAGAGAGAAAGAGAAAGAGAAAGAGCTTCTATTCAACGTTCATCGACTTAGGCTTTATAGAAAGTGAGTTCTTTTAGTAACACGTCTATGTAATCGTCAACTTTAACCTTTAATTGTTCATCCATCATCGAGGACAATCACGTTCTCTATGTCGTTCTTTCCACAATTTACTTTCGTTGAGCAATAGAAACGTATTGCAGCTGTGATCGATCGTACGCAATTATATTAAAAAGATATATGATTTGTATCATTTTATTGTTTATCAAAGATTCATTTATAATATTAACATATTATCAGATAATAATACGTAATGATCGCGAATATTTTATTACGTATCTTTATACAATCAATATACGTATACGATATAATATTCAAATATTTTCTCTTTTCTTTTGTTTTTCCCACCCATTTGTTTCTCTTTTTTTTTTCTTTTTTTTTCTTTTGTTTTTTTTTTCTTTTCTTCTTTCTTTCCTTTAATATTTACTTCAATACTTTCAACAGAGATATTTTATATGCGTTTAGTTTTGTCCTGAACGTTATTGCGACATGATGTAATATCTGTCGATAAAATAGATATCGTTCATATCTCTATATTTTATTATCAACGAAGAATATCTTACGTATCTACTACCAGAGAATGTTACTTTCGTTTTTATTACTTACTATTATCGCCACTGGTACCGCCACTTCTCGTTCGTATAATATCCAACGAGTGAGTTCGAAAATCTCTTGAGACAGATATCAAAAGAATTGTTAATATCGATAAAATCGTTAATAAA